GTAGTTTGTTTTACTTGTGGTTTCGAGTATAGTTTGATACTCAGTTTGTTTTATTTGTGGTTTCGAGTATCGTTTGATACTCAGTTTGTTTTATTGTGTTATTAAAGTAGGATTTGGAAATCCGTCCATGCAGGACATGGACGAACTTTGTATTTAAAGGCTGTTGATTCCCTTAGAGGAACAGCAGACTTCGACGGACAGAGTATTTCTAATATACTTGGTTGAACGGTTACCCCTTCCAGTCCCTATTCTTTATATCTTTCTCTCGGAGCCTCCCTTAGCGCAGTACGCCCATAGGTTGTTGACCAGCTTGTGCGCTACTCCTATTGTACCCGGAAGCGTGATTAGCACCCCGGTGCGAACACGTTACATCAGTACTCATGTTTTCGGTGGTGATACTCAGGGCATTGCAAAATTTGACCAGACATGCAACATCACCACGGTGCCCCTTTAGGACTCAAACACGGGACTCAGCCCTCGGTGCACGTCCGGTACCGGTTTTGTTCAAAAGGTCAACAACGTCGGCAGGAATATGAGCTCCTTGGCGTCTTAGTGAATCTAGGTTCCAAACCCTCATTCGGATCGTGTGTTGTCGGCTATAGCTGCTCTGAATCTGCCTGGAGGCGTCCCTTTTATTCAATCGTCGCCATCCGTCCTTAATCTGATCCTTATGCGCCAGCTCCCCAAACTTAGTTGAATACATGAGAATATTTTCAAACTGGTATACGTGATCACGGAAGTGAGATAGCAGATGCATCTTGATGAAGTTGAAATGACATTTTGACTGAATTAATACCATTTGTTGGTTGTCCTCCTGCCCGCGATGCTACTCGCGTATTTTCCGTACCTTCGACCTGGGTGAGATTCATTCAACTGGGCTTGCTGATGCCGTATTCCCCGCACCTGATCCTTAAGTTCGGCTCGTGTCTGTTTCGACATTCGAAATTCTAAGAAGATATCCTTTGTGGTGTGAAATCTGTCGAGATATTGTTCCATATAACCTATAGTCTCTGCTGTATGACTTTTATATTGTGCCATCAAACTGAAATCGAGTAATGACCCGACGCAAGGAAGCGAACATTTGAAAGGTAGCTGTTGCGTACCATCCAGCAGTCTCAACGCCACAGCTAAAACTGCTAAACGACATCCCCCCAAATTCCTCATCTCTTTCCCTTGCCACGGTGTAACCTCACCGTAAGCTTGTTTAGGAACAAAGAACTCAGGGTAAGGCGGCAAAGACTTCCAAGCATTATCAAATGCTTGTAGTCGCCCATGTTTCTTGAGAAATCCTTGAATCCAATACATCATGTGCTCAAACAGTCCCAGGTAAATTGTATGAAGGAGATCGGGCTGGTGCAAGTCTGGCGCAGACACCCATCGGAGCCCGTGGAAGACATTCCGCCCGATCTTGACACCCAGAGCATCGAGTGTGGGGTGGGTCAGGTCAGAATCTGACACCTCCGACTCGTCGCGAAGTTGCTGCTCCAGTTCCTCATATGTCACATAATCTGGGGCCTGATATGCTGTATTCGCGTTGGCACCTAGCTGGTGTGGACGAACCTCACATTTAGGACAGGCATTGGATTTTATTCCATGAAGGGCGACGTTTTCCATATGGTCCGCAATCGGCGCAGCCAATATCGGGAAGCACCACCAGACGTTCCTATCGGCAGAGTCAATTGGGACGCCATCCGACGTAGCATCCTGCGAGGGCCCCAATAAGAGTTCAAATACACCTTTAAGGGTGTCGGCATTAATTTCTTTCTGGGATCTGTTTGCTGAAGCCAACTGGGGCAACTTAGGAGGGACTGGTAGGGGCTTAAGAAGGAGGATAGCCATCGATCTGCGCCTGTTATGCCTAGTTGACGCAAGATTTCCTATCGTAACGTATACCGGCCAGGCCTTCTGGTCACCAGAGAAGTTGGTGAGATGGGTCTGATCGGACATCCCGATAATGGGAACAATGGTGGCGCCATGTGGAAGGGTTTCCTGTCATAGGTTAGCTAGATCTTTAGTCAAAAGGTGATAAGAAATTGGTATAGTACTTGAACTTCCCACCACCAGTCTGCGGTATGCATTTCAGCATACACTCTGTGTCCATTGTGATCGTATTAACGTTGCGGTGCGTAAATAAGATCTTCTCTATGGGTCATCTGACGAAGAAGATATCGGACACAATCTAAAAGGTTACGGTAGAAGAAAGGTAACGTTCTGATGCCATCATCTACGTTCCCTTCGTACCATCACAGATACGGCCCGTATGGATGCAGTATACGGAGCTGGTTCTCCAGTGTATGCATTGAACGGTAGCCGACGGATGCCAAATTACCAAGGCCATTTGAAAAGAACTCATTGATACGCGACTTGGAGACTTTGCTGTAAATAAACCAAGTTGCAAGTTTGAAATTGTGCACCCACGCGAATGGAGCCCATGGGTCCTCCGCTAGATTGTGGTTGTCTCGTTCAAATCCCTTCACCTCTCCAATGGATTCCGCAGCGCCAGGAAAAATAGCCATTTCGCTGGGCCCTGAGGATGCGTTGAACACACCACGTGATTCTATACAGGACTCCTCTGTAACCTCTGGATTCAACGACTCAGATAAGTAATCCATGGGATCACCTTCCAACTCGTAGTCGGAATCAGTCTGATCCATTTGGTAGAAAGCGTCATGGCGGCATAATGGGTCAGATTCACTTTGGTGAAAAGGACCGTCCGAGGTGGTCGGCCATGTAGTCGACGCGAGAAGAATGGGTAGATTGGCATGGGCGCTGCGCATGTTTTTCGGGTAAGGGCCTGAGCAGGCGTGTTTGCGGCGACAATAAGAACATTTGATAGGCATTACGGGAGCCAGTGCTGTTGAAATTTTGAAATGCAACGCAAGTATTCAGACGTGAGCAGAATGCTCAAGTTTTGTTGGGTGGTTCGGAGGAGCTAGGTCACAACGTCCCCCAAAGGGAGCTATAGTCGAAGGGGTTTAGCGCATGCCATGTGTATCTTGCTAGCACATGGGTTCGAGTTTGTTTTCATGTATCCAGTTCCGTTAGTACTAATAATTTGTTTCCAATTTCGAAGAGTCGCTGGACATACTAAGTTTATAATCTTGAAAGAGAGGCTGGCTCTGACGGCGGCATCGTGCGAAGTTTCCATTGCTGTATTGATTATGTTAAAAATTGTTCCTGATGACTAGGATGTCAGGAACCCCGATGTATAAAGGGAGGATCAAGAACGCAGGAGTGTCATACCAGAAAGA